TCAAGCTTATCGATGATGATCTTTGTACTACCCTTGCTACTTCCAACCCTCTAAGTGACCCCATCTTCACTACTGCTGTCGATGCTCTCAATGGCATTTGTCTCCCTCCCATGAAATCCACTCTAACTGATTGGAAGATCGACTTTGGAATGTTGTTTTACAAAGATTGTGCCTACATTTCCCCTGATCATCGCAAAATTATATTGAACCGTTACCATGACCATCCCACTGCAGGCCATCCTGGTCACTTTAAAACTGAGGAATTGGTTAAATGCGAAGTTTGGTGGCCCGGTATGGGAGCTTTCATCTGGAAATATGTTGATGGCTGTGCTGTCTGCCAGCAAATGAAAGCTGATACCCATCCCATTACCCCACCTCTCATCCCTATTTCCTCCTCTGCCACAAGGCCGTTCTTGCAGATTTCCGTTGATCTTATCACCGACCTTCCGGTGTCTTCCAGTTTTGACTCTGTTATGGTCATGGTAGACCATGGGCTTAGCAAGGGGGTGATAATTACTCCTTGCCACAAGACTATTTCCTCCAAAGGAGTAGCCAAACTCTTCCTTAAACACGCGTTCAAACGCTTCGGATTACACGACAAGGTCATTTCTGATTGTGAACCACAATTTCTTTCGAAATTTTCCTTAGAACTGGCTCAACTCCTAGGCTATTCTATTGCCCCTTCTACCGCATACCACCTGCAAACCGATGGACAAACCAAATGGCTTGACCAGGAATTAGAAATGTATCTATGAATCTATTGCCAGAACGACCCAGCTAGTTGGGTGGAACATCTTCCCATGGCTGAATTTGTCCATAACCACAGGAAACACAACACCTGAAACGCTTCCCCCTTCTTTATCATGATGGGATATGAACCTAAACCAATCCCCCACATTCTGGCTGATTTGAAAGTACCTGCTGCAGAAGAATGAGTCCAACTCCTCCAAAAGATAAGAGAAGAAGCAATTGCCTGCCATAACATTGCTATGCAATGAATGGCGGAAAGATCCTTTGGTCAAAAATATCAACCATGGAAAGTAGGCGATAAGGTATGGCTATCTGCAACCAATCTCCAATTGAAACTCCCTTCCTGGAAGCTCGCTCCAAAACAATATGGCCCCTTCCCTGTCTCCACAGTACTATCTCTGATTACTTTCACACTCCAATTACCTCCACAATGGAAGATACATCCCACATTTCATGCTTCTCAGCTATCCTCCTATAGCAAAAATGACGTTCACAGTCCGAACTTCCTGGAACCCCCACCTGACATTCTAGAAGAAGAGGAATATGAAATCAAAGCCATCCTTGCCCATAAAGGCATCAGCAAATGTTGCCATTTTCTGGTATCATGGAAAGGATATTCCTCTGCCAGTAATGAATGGATCCTTGAAGAAAACCTGGAAAACACCAGAGAAGCCCTCTCAACTTATAAAGGAAAATACTCGCTCTAACATCAATTGCTATTCCAACTGCATCGTTCTTACATCATCTCAACAACCAGAATGCCCTTCCCAGTCTCCTACACCCTTCCATATGAATCTGTGTTTGCCCCCATCAACGTCTCCTCCAATGAAGGAAGATTTGAATCCTTCATCTCTGAAATTGAAGACCTTACCCTCATCGAGGCCGCTGTGAAGAAGTAATAGTGACTGGCCAGCAAGAAAGCTAGAGCACTAATAAATCCAACTGAGTGCGGGTGTGTTGTCTCGACCCAAGAGGATTGCTATGAAGCACTTCCTTCAAGTATAATGTGAAGGGAGCAAACACGGAACGGAAAAGAACTAAGTTGACCTTAGAAAAGCGAGTCCGCTGGTAAGAGCGAAAGCGAGACCGCAGGTCCGGTGAGTGCGCGATGAGAAATGAATGAAAGCGAGAGGATCCTAGGTAAAGCGCGGTTCCGCAAGTAGCAGCTAGGTATAGATGAGGTTTGAGGCCAAGGTATAACTAGGTATGAAAATGCTAAGTCGGAAACTGAGAGCGGTTTGGATCCGCGCAGAGCCTAGGTAAGGAAAACTTAGAGGCGCATTCTCAGAGCGGTCAAGAACACGCAGGTTCAAAGTGAGAAGTGAACAAAGCTTGTCAATTGATCAATAATACTAGGAATGTCTAAGTGACTCCACAAAACAAAGGTAGCGTCCAAGGGAAGGGAAGTACTGTACTGTATGTAGCACGTGAGACTTTATCCTACTGCATGAACGTCCAGAACCCGTAGGTGAGAACTGTAGCGATGAAACGAGGCAGATAAGTAATATGTAATGAGGGAGCACACGGAACAGAATACATGGTTACATGTAATAAGCCTTGATATCGTTTAGTCAAACCGAGAGAAAATGAATATGCACCAACAGAGATAGACGGACACGGAAAGGGCATGGATGGACAGTGTGGAACGGAAGTGCGGAGTGGATATGCCTGTGGGAGTATGTCAGATAGCATTGAACAAGTTATCCTTGCCATTGGAATTACCAGAAGATGAGATGGAACATATATCTCTCCATACTCCTTGACACCTATATCAAAAGACACGCTTTGCAGCCTAGGGAGGGTGTAAGTGTCACACCGCACTCCTCTGCCCACAACATGCCATCAAAATCAACAAAATCCTTATCAACAGAAACACCTTCTCCATCAACCTCATTGTCAATATCATCAGATCCACCGACCTCCTTGAGAGGCTCATTCAACATGTGGAGGAACCATGTGTTCAGCATGGTATCATGCATTTACAGAAACACATTTGTGCTTACACTCTGCATCTTATCCCTGAGGAGGTTAAGTCTGATATTCAGATGGCTATTCATGTTGTTGCTGAGCGAATCACCAGAGTCACTTGTCCACCATCTCCACAACCAGTTGAACAAATAACTGCAACCCCTCCACCTTCCTATGATGGTGGAATTCTTGTTCCTCTCCTTGTGTGTCTGATGAGCTATTGGCTGCTGTTAACAGCCTTACAGAAATCACCAATGCAATGATTCTTAACCTACAAGGAGAAACCCAGCTGGGACTACAGGTAGCCACGTCAGCCTCTGCAACCACGTCCAACATGGTCAATGCTCCAGTAGAGACTGTAGAGCACCCAGAACATCTTTATACTGCCTTTCCTGCCACTCATGAAGAAATTGTAGTCAACGAGCTGAACCCCCCTCCTGATGAAATTATTGCTCTCACCGAAGCGCTTAAGGCGCTACACATCCATCCACCTATGGCAATCCCAGCCACGCTTACCCCGCCTACATTCATAGATGCCCTTGTTCCTATTCAAGCCCTTGGTCCTACCACTCCTGCAGAGTACACTGAGTTAATCACGGAAGCAGAGTGAATCCCTATGCCACTCACCTCTATCTACGTTGTAGCAAAGGATGAAGTTGCTCAAATCAGATCTCAGACTAACCATAAGAGGAGGTCCCCCAGGCAAGGATATCAAGGAAAGGGAAAGAAAAGAGCCTCAAGTGAGGATGAAGCATTAAGTTCCTGCCCTGCTCCCCCTATTATTATTCGACCTTCCTCATCAAACCCAGATGAAAATTGTGTATGCCATTACTGTAAATCTCCCGGACATTGCCAGACCGCTTGTCCCAACTACTATTGCAGGATATGCAGAGAGCTATCGCTGGGACACCTCTCCCTATATTGCCCTAAGTTCACCGAGTCCTCCCCTACAACACTTACTTGGAAGGATGAAGGATTCTACCAAAAACTGAGTGCCTGGGGGAAATCCTTGGATGACACTCATATTCTCCAGTGTCAAGAAGAAGAAGCCCTTTACTGAGAAGAGCACCTTACTGGAGGAGGTGATGACAAGTTTGACTATTCTGATGACCCCATTTACTGGGCTAACCAGGATGAGTAAAGTCGGTGACTTTATGCATAGTAAGAGGGTAATGTTACAATCACTATCTGTTTACCCTTGTACTTATACAATATGCCTTCCTTTCTTGGTGTGTACGATATTTCTCACAATTATCTTGGTCTGTGTGCACATATGGATCTATTTAAGCACAGTGTATTACACTTGTATTCCTTACTTGAATCTTACTAGGTTTTACCAGAACATCCTTCACTTAAGACCCCCAATCTTAAGTCGTCTGATACCTGATTCTTAGTTGAAGCACTCCTTCGACTAAGTCCTGAACTCTCTCTCTTTTCTGAGAGACTTAGAATCTCAACAATTGTAATTCTGTCGAGTTGTTGTTGTTAGAACTATCCTAGTTCATAACAGATATCTACTAGATTATATCTGAAGACAAACAAATATATACACAAAGCACAATGCCATTCAAGGATAAGAAAGTGCAATACAGACCCAACTTCAACAAATTAATATATGTCTCATAATATCTCATGACCGTGATACTTGATAGATAAGCTTTTGTAAGAAGCCCTGCATCTCTCCAACACAATTGTCATCTCTTGCCTAAGGTAGACTTTGTGATGACTGTTTACAATCTCAACGAGGTGATACTCATGAGTTACATGACCAGTGTAATACTGATCCAGAATGGTCGTCCCTCATAGTCATGATAACTCTAGGGCAACATATTGTCATACACTAGCAGTTTTCGACTGCAACGGTAGGGAAATGCATGGGTACGGGTAACACCGCGGTTCTATGCTAACGGGTTTGGCGGGTACGGGTACGGTGTAGGATATTCATACCCTTGAGCACACCCTGACCCTTTACCACAGGTTGGCGGTGTTGGGACGGGTATGACCTACCAAATTGGGAACTTTGACAGCCTTTGAACACCATGCTAGGATTCTCCATACCACCTTTCCCTGAATCTCTGAGAGCTTGAGGATCACAATTAAATGCTATACTGATTTCTGTCCTGTCTTTTGCGCCCTGTGATTCATTCTATTAACCCATTTATCAAGCTGACACTTTACTACAGAGAAGCTCGAGTTACTACCATAAAGCCAAGGCAAAAACTCGAGAACCGTTTAGTACAAGTCCACTCACCGACGAGTCGCAATGGCCGCTTGTGTCATTTTTTCCGTGCAATGCACGGAAGTGTAAGACAGCTTTAGGTGGCATGCGCCGCTATCAGGATACAAGGGATAAGTCTTTGACGACTAATCTGAAGCGCCATGCCATTGGATGCTTTGGCGAGGATGCTGTCAACAATGCCATGAAGGGTAAGGATGTTAGCACTACTAATAGTGGCTCCGTCTATGCAGCATTTGCACGCCAAGGCCAACAGCCCGTTCATTACCCTCATCGGACACATACAAACCCGGAAGTTTGGTAAATGATCTGAATCTGTGTAATTTCTTGATGTTAACATCAGTTTCAGTGCTTGACGGGTGAAACAGATCACTGAAAGCAATCGCCTGGTTAATATAGTCAATGACCGTGAACTCCGCGAGCTTCTTTGTGCAGGTCGTCCGATTATTTTATTGTCCGAGTTGTTAATACACTCTTCTTGCTAATGTACCTGCGGTGCTTATGGGTCGGTATGTACCCCCGCGGTGTTTATGGGTCGGTGTGTACCCGTACCTGTGGCGGGTGCGGTGTTGGTGGGTACGGGTATGGTGTTGAGTTTCTGGCCCACGGTGTTACCCGTGCGGAACCCTATGCAATGGTCACTTGCTGCCTAAGCAGAACTTCATGGTGACTCTCTGCATTGTGAACCAGTTAGTAATTGCAAGTTATAAAACAAATCCCATATTGATACTAAATGGTCTTTCCGCATAGTTGTGATGTCTCTATCGTAATGACTTAGAATTACACTTAATAGTTATCAATGATGGCTGTCGTGGGCTACCTAAATTGAACTTTGTTGATGGCTGTTTGCAATGTCCACCAGAATGTCCACCAGTAAGTTACCAATTGTGACAGTTGTGGTATGTACATGATGAGTTAGAATATGCCAACCTCATGTAGTACAGCAAGCATAAACATTTCAGATCTTTCAGTACTTGTTCTTGCACGAAAATATCAGTAACAAAATAAGTGCATAGTTCCCTGATTGGAATCATGTCTGTTGTGTAGTGTCAACCTTGCTGGCACAAAAGATTGATGTTATACCACATATATTATCATAGGAAAACTAATGGTACAAGTTAAAGTAGAGTTGAAATATATACAGTAAGATAAGAACAGATGTGAAAAAACTAGATCCATGTACTTTACTATTGGTATATATTACTTCATACATTTTGTGGGTTCCACCAGACATATCTGATTAACATCAGCAAAACCCTAAAAATAGTGTAGTGCCCCAGCCAAGTACAGCCACCTGTGGTAACTTACAGCATCCACAGTGATGCATAGCAACCGGTTAAAATCTAATATTAACACTTGATTATATTACAGTAGATTACGGCGCTTACAGGCGCTTGTAGATGTCATAGCGGTAGTGGCCGATAGCATGATACAGCAGTCACAGGGCATGTAGGAAAATCTAGGTGAATTTTCAAAGAAAACTAGTAGGTACAAAGTAATACATAGAGCTAGTATTAATATTCAGCTGCATTCAACTTGGAGACGGTGAAGGTTCAATGATATAGCGAGGCATGAACAATGCTCCTGACTGTATCTATAAATGTTGTAAGGTCACGTGCTGCCTAGTCTGCTATACTTGAGACGACAAGTGCATTTGACCCTAAAGGGGAAGCGAGTGCAGCAAGGATCTAGTAGTAGGCGCCGAAGGCGCTACTGGTTGGCAAATGCAAAGCACGGGAAAGCGCAGGTGCGCGCGAGGCGCGGGAATGCGCGTGTGTGTATGCGGAAACAAGAGAGAGTAAGAGTGAGTTTGCTTAAGTGATGATTAGACACTAGACAAGAGGTGAGAGATGCAAGCTGAGAGATGTTATATGCGAGGTGCCAAGGAATAGATTTCAACTATGCTCTGCTGGGTAGTAAATGGGTATTGTTCTCATTCAGTCCTCTGTCGTTCCTCCTTTTTTAATAGTATGTACTGCTGGTACTTATATATGGTGCCTAAGCGCTGTCATGCGGAGCCGAAGTGCTACCGAGCAAGGTATGTAAAGATATATGTAAGTAAGGGTCCATGATAAAAATAAAGGTGGAACGATATGCAAATAAGGGAAATGGAAATATATGCACTAGAGAGCTTGGTGGACAGTGGATGGATGCTTCTGGATGGCTGGCGCTATAGGGCGCTCAAGTGCGGGAAAGTGCGCGTGCATATACATCGTGAAGCGCGGGAAAGGTACGCGTGCGAGTTGCGCGTTGCGCAGGAAAGCTGCACCTTGTATAGGAATAGCTGCAGGTAGCATACAGACTGATGCTACAAGTTCATGCTGTGTACTCCTTGGTGAAAACTGCGATATTGCACAGTGAGAGGCATGAGTCTCTACAATGGCATAATAAAAATCCTTATCAATGTACTTATTGAGGAAAAATGATTGAGCGAACTTAGAGCTGTTTGTTGATGTCACATGAGTGTCAGCAACAGGACCAAAGCAGGGAATAATATGAGCGAAGGAGCGAAGTTGATCTAGGGGAAGGATGTCCCCAAAAGGCATCACTCCTGCACATGTGGCACATTTTAGAACATGCATCTGCATGGTGCATTCCAATACCTCTCCACATTGCTGAGGTACCATGTCGAGACATTGGATGTAGGTAAGGAAATGTGAAGCCCATGGGAGAGTTCTGCCTGGCAGTAAAACTGATAACATGATGAGGTGAACCTCAACAACAACGTGTCCTAGTAGATTGTGTTCCTCAGTACAAAAAACACTGAAGCATATATTAAGTCACCTTGAAGCCTACTAGCAGGCCATTGTTCAGTTCCATCAACAGTAAATATGGCAGCATCATAGCGGCCATGCTTCCAGTTAGCATCTGGCAGAGATGCACTGACCATCAGAGCAGGAAGGAGGGCTGACCTGCTGTGGTGTGGCATCTGTTGTATGTGCACTTTGAACCAAATATCAAGGTGCTTGAACAGAAGATTCATGTTTGGTGATACTTGACGTTGTCCTGTCAACTTGTAGACTCGAAGGTTTTGAACAATCTGACCCTCATGTTGAATGTAATTGGTGAGTGCTGCTCACAAGTCAGGCAAACAGAACTTCTCGGCGATATTGTCAATAGCTTGATGTTGTAACGAGGGGTCAAAAATAAGATGGATAGCGGTGGAGCCAGTGATGAACATGCGGAGTGGTCTGGGTGCTGTGGTGGACAATGAAGCAAGCTGTGCCTTCTTGAAGAAATTTGTTATAACACGGCCTGTCCCCCAGAGATCACTAATGGTAGCCTGTAGATTGTCTGCCTCATCAGCGCCCTCGACACCATTGATCCCATCATCCAAGTCATCATCTCCATATCCAGCGGTGGCAGTATCCATCTGAGACTGCGATTGCTGTGCAATAAATGTTGCAGTTTGAAAATGTCGACATTTTTGATGCAATCCAGATATCAACATGTCTGGAGATCATAGTTCTGGTTATTTGTCAATTCTGCTGGATCCTTGATCAGAGTTATGTGAGCTCATTCTGTGGTGTCAGCTGACCACTGTATGAGAGAACCAACTTGATAGACACTCGGCACAACACTTTGCATCAATTCGAGTTTCAGAATGTACCTGTTACAAGTAATATCAGTCATGTGGCCCCCCTATCATTTTCCCTTCGTCCTCGCCCTCACCATCTACCGGCTCATCCTCCTATACCGACTATCTGTTGACTGGATCCTTGGGGCCATCCCCGTCCCTCGCATCACCCGCCTCCTTCACGTGCACACACGTTCCTCTTATGATTCGACCACCAATGTGGTCCTGCATCTCTGACTTGGTCTGACTCATGCCACCAATGTGGCTTTCCTTTCTTGTTCTCTTCTGACTGTGCTTCCTACACGTTGTATTCTTACCATTGGATCGTTCCAATGTTTCTCAGTCTCATTCCACATTCGACCACCCCTCACTAATCTGGCTGTGTTGCCAATGCACCTATACCATTCTCGTTTCCCCTTTACCCTTACCTACAGTGCGGTAACCTTGCCCTTAACCCCTTCCACTTAGTATAAGTAGTTGGTCACTCTGTACTAGATTCTCTAACTTGAATCTACTCAATCTTCCCTGGAACATACTTCCCTCTGAAGCCTCTCAGCTTCAGTCTCTAAAGTATCTTTTCTTAGTTGCTCTTCATAGCTAAGTCTACCTCAATCGACACTCATCGTTTGGACAAGACTGTCCTTACTTTGAGCCTGGTGAATTCACAGACATCCGTCTTAGAAGTCACGTGACATGCGCGCCTGTGATCGCTGCTGACTCAACGTCGCCAGTCTCACCCGCTATACTGGATCCTTCTGGTTACGTCACGAACATTAGCGGATGATGCCCCTCTTAGGGCTCCACATAACAGATCTATTTGAGTGCATAACAAAAGATTCAAGTTTCCCCTCGACACCCCACCATCCGTGCGGCACCCCATTGATAAACAGACACCACGACTACCTGGATCAGGAAGTACCCTTGGGAACACAACCCCAACACTCCTGACTCCAAACCAGAAGAATCAGAAGCAGACCACACGTCCTCTGACAAGTTTCCTGACAAACAACTGTATGGTAACCTCAACTTGAACCCCAGAACAAGAATGTCTGGAGGCACCCAACTGACACCGACTGTGACCAAGGCTGAAATAAAAGCTGGCACACCCCAGAACTATGAAGGAAGCATCGATGATGCTGAACGATGGCTCCACTCTGTGGAGACATACTTCCCCATTAACCTGACGATCTACAACACCGACCAAACCAAGGTTGCCGTCGCCCTCCAGTACATGATAGGAGGAGACACTCGCATCTGGGTGGACACCTTCTACCGTGAAGCCTTCACCAAGACTCCAGTGGATTTTGGCTCATTCAAAGACTTCAAAACCCAGTTCACCGCCTCTTTCCACCCCTATCGATTGACAAGTCGAAGCCATGACCAAGCTCCAATGCTTGGTGCAGACTGGAGATGTGATGCCCTACATTGCATCCTTCAAAACCCTCGCCTCCACCGCAAGTGTCAAGCAGGACCTCATGCTCATCCACTTCTTTGAACGAGGCCTAAAGACTGGGCTCCGCACTGCCGTCTATACAATGGAGACCGTCCCTACCACCATCGACAAATGGTATACTGCAGTTGTCAAGCTTGAGTCTAACTACAAGTGTGGCAGAGCGGTCACTTCCAACAACTGATTGGTACACCCCTCCAGCAACCGGCACGTCCCCAGGCCCCAGGTTCACCAATGTGACCCTAACACTATGGACGTAGATCGCACCCTCACACCAAGGGAGCGACAAGACTGCTTCGATAAAGGCCTTTGCTTTAAATGCAAGGAGAAAGGCCATTGAGCAAATGACTCCCGGTTCCACCTGAAGGTGCGCCGAGGAGACAAGAATGATGAAGAAGACACTGGCAAGAAGCCAAGCAAGTCTGGTGTCCGCCAGCTTGACGAGTCTTCTGACGAGGAAGACCTGGAGGTCAACTGAGTCGGAAGGAAGGATTTTTGAAGTGAGGAATTGTTGAACAGTCAATTTCCTCTATCTGCGCATTGTATACTAAAGCTGTTGGGAAATCCAATGAGTTTCATGTCCCGGTGACACTATTCTCTTCTTGCAGTGCCAAAACTGTTCCAACTACCGTGATTATCGACTCCGGGGCAGGTGGGACCTTCATTAGCTATGACTTTGTCAAGCGAAATGGGATCCGAACCCACCTACTCAAGAAACCCTTCCGGATCACCACAGTAGATGGGAGCCCGTCCTCTGCAGGACAGGTTACCCATCACTGCATGCTTTTCATTTGTCTCGACAAGAGACTTATGTATGGAAAGTTCAATGTAACAAAACTTTCCAAGCATGACAATCTACTTTTTGGAAAACCATGGCTTAGTGCTATGATTCCCAATATCGACTGGAAGGCAAACATGATCTCCCTGCCTGCGACCAGATGGTCAAAGGAGGTGGAGGAAAGCTCTCAATGCATCCCGCAAAGAGAGCAAGGCTAAACCCTATCTCTTCCGAGGAGAGAAGGCCTGTACTCGAAGAAATCAAGGAGCACAAGAACGCCAAGAAACTGGCACCACCGACCATGCCCTTTGAAGATATCAACTTCAACACTATGAACGATGTCTGGGTTGGACAAACCCAGGCAGCGGATGAAGTTAAGGATGTTTCCACCTACCCTCTCACTGACGATGAAATTTTAGTGAAATATGCTCCTGACGGAACCTCCGTCCAGATCATCGAGAACGTCATGTTTGACTTCCCTCTCACACTTGACAGGACCTCTGAAAAGGAGGTCCAGAAAGCCCTGCGAAAACAGGCAAAGCCTCTCCAAAACCTGTGGATCCTCACTAGCCAGCAGGAATACACAAAGACCTCCAACAAAGCTCAGGAATTTGCCAGGGAGGACGTGCAAGAAAAGAAGAAGAAATCATTTGAGGAATTGGTACCTTCTTATCTTCATGATTTTGCTGACATCTTTGCGAAAGATGGTCTCAGCAAGCTCCCTCCCTCTCGACCGGGGGTTGACCATAGAATCAAAACAATCAAAGGCTTCATCCCAAAGTCTTTCAGAGCTTATCCACTCTCCCAGAAGGAAACCAATGCGGTCAAAGCCTTCTTGGACGAACACCTTGCCAAAGACTTCATCCAGCCCTCAAAGTCCCCTCAGGCTGCTGGATTCTTCTTTGTCGGAAAGAAGGACAGATCCTTGCGACCATGTCAAGACTACCAGTACATCAATGAATGGATGATCAAGAAGGCGTACCCACTCCCTCTGATCCCACCCTTGCTTGCAAAACTCAACAAGGCTCAGTGGTTCACAAAGGTCGATGTATGCTCAGGATACAACAATATCCTAATACACCCTGACAACAGGTGGAAAGCCGCATTCTCCACCTCATATGGGCTCTTCGAGCCCAAGGTAATGTTTTTTTGGATTATGCAACTCCCCCGCAACTTTCCAAGCTTACATGAACCAGACTTTTGCAGAAGAACTGAACGAAGGATGGCTAATCGTCTATATGGACGACATCCTTATCTTTTCAGATGACTTAGATGAACACCAGCATTGAACCCGCTGCGTGTTGGAGAAACTCTACAAGGAGTCCCTCTCCCTCAAACCTGAGAAATGCACCTTCGACACTCAAGAGGTCGAATACCTCGGTATGATCATCCGACCAGGACAGGTCACTATGGACCCTGCCAAACTAAAGGGTATCAGTGAATGGCAGCAGCCCTCGTCTGTCAAGGATGTATGGTCCTTCCTCGGGTTCTGCAACTTCTACTGGCATTTCATCCCCCACTACTCTGACATTGCGCTGTAGAGACTCGTGCCTCTCACTGTGCAATATCGCAGTTTTCACCAAGGAGTACACAGCATGAACTTGTAGCATCAGTCTGTATGCTACCTGCAGCTATTCCTATACAAGGTGCAGCTTTCCTGCGCAACGCGCAACTCGCACGCGTACCTTTCCCGCGCTTCACGATGTATATGCACGCGCACTTTCCCGCACTTGAGCGCCCTATAGCGCCAGCCATCCAGAAGCATCCATCCACTGTCCACCAAGCTCTCTAGTGCATATATTTCCATTTCCCTTATTTGCATATCGTTCCACCTTTATTTTTATCATGGACCCTTACTTACATATATCTTTACATACCTTGCTCGGTAGCACTTCGGCTCCGCATGACAGCGCTTAGGCACCATATATAAGTACCAGCAGTACATACTATTAAAAAAGGAGGAACGACAGAGGACTGAATGAGAACAATACCCATTTACTACCCAGCAGAGCATAGTTGAAATCTATTCCTTGGCACCTCGCATATAACATCTCTCAGCTTGCATCTCTCACCTCTTGTCTAGTGTCTAATCATCACTTAAGCAAACTCACTCTTACTCTCTCTTGTTTCCGCATACACACACGCGCATTCCCGCGCCTCGCGCGCACCTGCGCTTTCCCGTGCTTTGCATTTGCCAACCAGTAGCGCCTTCGGCGCCTACTACTAGATCCTTGCTGCACTCGCTTCCCCTTTAGGGTCGAATGCACTTGTCGTCTCAAGTATAGCAGACTAGGCAGCACGCGACCTTACAACATTTATAGATACAGTCAGGAGCATTGTTCGTGCCTCGCTGTATCATTGAACCTTCAGCGCAACCCCTCCTGGACCTCACCAAGAAGGAAGTCTCCTTCGCATGGTCGGATTCTACCAAAGCGTCAATTCAGTGTTTGAAGATGCTTTTCACCATGGAACCGGTTCTGAGGAACCCAGACTCTTCATGTCAGTTTGCACTTGCAACTGACGTGTCTCTCTTCGTGACCGGGGCAGTACTGCTCCAGACAGATAGCAATGGGGATTACCACCCATGTGGTTACCTCTCCCAGTCCCTGAACGCAGCAGAACAAAACTACAAGATCTATGATCGGGAACTCCTTGCCATCATCCATGCCCTCCAGGCCTGGAGGCACTTCTTGGAAGGGAATGCCCACCCAGTTGTGGTGTTTACCGACCACAAGAACCTGATCTACTTCCGCTCTGCTCAATGACTCACACAACGACGGGCTCGGTGGCATCTCACGCTCACCAATTTCGACCTGGAACTTCATCACATTCCTGGTATGAAACTTGCCACACCAGATGCCTTGTCCCGTCGACCGGACCATGACCGGTCTGGTCATGACAATGAGGACCATGTCCTTCTCCCAGACTCCCTCTTCACCCGCCTCATCGACACCGAGCTTGCTGATGAATTCCAGCGGCTCTCGGACGACCCCTCTGACCAGACTGTAAAAACAGCTCTGGACGCTCTTTCCGGGGTGTGCGCACCTCCGATGAAATCCGCACTTTCTGACTGGAGATTCACTGATGGTGTCCTCTTCTACAAAGATCGTGCTTACATGCCTCCCAACCTCAGGCATCGCGTGCTCGCACTGCACCATGACCACCCCACTGCAGGTCACCCCGGCCGTTCTGTTACTGAATGGAACATCAAAAAGGCTTACTGGTGGCCCAGCATGGGCTCCTTTATCCAGAAATATGTTGATGGTTGTGCTATGTGCCAGCAAATAAAGGTTAACACCCATCCGATGACCCCTCCGCTCACTCCGATACCCTCATCATCCCTCCGGCCCTTCTCTCAGGTCTCTGTTGACCTGATCACTGACCTCCCCGAGAGCACCGGCTACGACTCTGTCATGGTCATGGTAGACCATGGTCTTACGAAGGGGGTAATTCTCTGCCCTTGCAGAAAAACGACCACTGCGGAAGGCGTAGCTGAACTTTTCTTCAAGACAGTGTTCATGCACTTTGGACTCTATGACAAGATCATCTCAGACTAAGGCCCCCAATTTGCCTTGAAGCTAGCAAGAGAACTAGGATGACTCCTTGACTACCAAGTCGTGCTTTCCACTGCTTATCACCCTCAGACAGATGGCCAGACTGAACAGCTCAACCAAGAGCTAGAAACCTACCTCTGGATCTACTGCCGGACGACCCCCTCCGAATGGGCAAGACACCTGCCCATGGCTGAGTTTGTCCACAACTCATGAAGACACTCCACCAGGAATGCTTCCCCCTTCTTCCTGATGATGGGATACGAGCCACGAGGCATCCCTCACCTCTTCCCCGACTCTACCCTGCCAACCACTGAGGAACATGTCAAATCTCTCGCCAAGATCCGTGAAGAAGTTCTGACTCAAGTGGCATGTAACACCTAAGGCATTCTTGAACTTCTTCAGACAGTTCAGGCAGTTGTGCATGATGCTAGCTAATGTCTAAGTTGATACTAACAGCATAGATGGCCAGCGCACCGCTTCAAGTTCACCTTCCTTTTTAGTAGTACTATTTTTATCTAGCAGCGTGAAATGCAAATGGCTGAATATAATAGTAGTAGTATGTACAACACAGAGGATGCAACACTGGCATGGATAACAGTTAGTAATGAATGTACTACTGCTAGTAGGAGTAGTACTGTGATTGTCAATGATACTATAGTACAGTGAAACCCAAACAAACATCAGTGTGAAACATTGTAGTAAGCCTAGTACCGCACAGGCTCGACTTGAAAGATCTACTAGTAAGATGACAACTTATCAGAAATACTTCAGATCATTGCAGATACTGGCAAAACTCACCTTTTGTTAGGTGGCCCGAGACTTCTTGCTGTTTGTCTTCTTCTTCTTTGAGACATTGTTCGTCACCTCTTTTGAAACCTTTGGCTTCCTCAATTCACGTTCAGTAGTAGAACCACCAGGAAGAGGAGTAGCCAGAGTGATGGTCTGAGATGACCCAGCAGAGACTTGTGTAGTGGGAGCGGTACTATTATTAGTAGCACCCTTATGCTTGTTGTTGTACTTGTAGATGTACCAATCGACATAATGAAAGTAGGCAGTGTTGCAAACGGCGGAGGACATCTGCATGGCAGTGGTGGACTAGTTGAGTGATAGCTTGGGTTTGGAATTACGAGTCTTGTCTATCATGCTCTGCTCGAGCCCGAACCCCTCCATAATAGAAATGATTTCAGCCTTAAGGTTCGCAGCACTTTCATTAAGTAGGCAATCTATATTCACCATATCCACATCGGGAATGAGAGTCTGTAGGTTTGAATCATACTAAGATGAACAATACACATAATAAGACACAACGTACCCCTTCAGCATAGTGCTCAGGATCCCTCGAATCGAATCGAAACTTGCCTGATGCTTCATCCTTCAAGAATACTGTGATTCTAACTGCCTTCAACTTCAACCAATTGTGCCCCCCAACAACTACAGGCCCGTACATTGTGTCAGCTGTTTTGGATGGGATGAGGCTTTTGAACTTCTCGCAGTTCATCCGCACTCCAGATTTGCAAAGTGACTTGGCCACCTCAGTGTGTTCTTCGGGGCCTTGGAATGTACCATCCTCGTCGATCAAAACCCTAATTAGCTTCTTGATGTCAGAATTGTTCTTCACCATGTTCCCAAATTTATGCATGATGGATGTGTCACTTTGGCTGAAACCTGCCTCAACGAGCCACCGAACAAAACTTTCATCATTGCCGAACTGGTTGACACAATGCACAACACCCATAATATCTGGGACTTGTTGCAATGATTCTTTGTCAGGTAGCCGATTGTTTGTGAAGAATTGTGTGTCGATGTACTGGTCATTGTGACTGATCTGCGAAGAGAAGGTGATGAAGCATTTGTGAAGCCATGCAATGATGGTTTCGTGAATGGGGGAGGAGCTCATGATCTCAACTTCTCGAGTGTCTGGAAAGTAATCGGATCTAGCATGTATCAATAACAATCAGCGTGAGATCTAAGTGACCGCCAATCAAGTTAGCAGCTGACTTACTTTGCTTTGATTTCTATGCGTGATTTAGATGTAAACACTAAGACAGCTGCGTATTCCACTGGTGTGATATCCTGGATGGTCTTGAAGGGTGTTAGAGATACTTGATGCGACTCAAATGATGACACCTTACTATCATGTTTGTGCAGTGATCTGAATAATGCAACTGTCAGATCTAACAAACTAATGATAAGATTGCAAAATATATTCATACCAATATTCAGGTCTTAAAGCAGCTTTAAGGTTATCACCAAGTATTATCTGATCAGGACCAGGTGGTTCTACAGCAGGGAAAGGCTTCAAAATATCTTCATGCAATTCTGGGACTGGTTGTTGACCAAAGACTGACAACTTGGGATTGGTTGAGGGTGTTAAAAGCAGTCAGTCTTCTGACTAGCCTGCCAATCAAGTAACATTAGAGTACAACAAGGGCATGCTGAGAGGGAGAGACCCATGTCTGCTACAACTAGCACTGAGGACCATGATGGGAAGAGTTAAGATGCCAACAAAGGACTGTGGACCCAGGCTGTGGCCTGACCACCAAGCTGACATATTTAGTAGTACCACTATTGTTTCATTGACATGCCGAATAAATCATTCACTGGCAGCACTGGTAATAATCCATCTTGAGTCTGTTTTTATACAATTCTGATACTATGATTATACATTATGAGTTCTGGTAGGAACCCATGGCTGGCTACTAAGGAGACAGCTGGGACTTTCGAGCAAGGGCGGAGTTCAAACATGACACACAGCACTCCACAGTGTTATGGGGTGGCATGTGGCAGTACACAGCACATTATATGCCCAGTGTACAGTAGTATACTTCATGCTGAACAGGATTGTGCAAAAATAAATACATTAAGCTGCCACTAGTATCACAATAGTATGTGTCACAACTTCATTAAAAGTGATTCAAGTTGGAGGCAACAGGGTTGATGTATGAATGGTACAATTTAATACATCACATTGTCAAATATCTACAGCTGCCTCCGAGTCATAAGTGGGCTCGGATTCAAACATTGAAGAATCTTGTAGGTGGTATATGATTGAAGTGTTACTACTGTACAATCAAATTGTGCTTACTTAGCATTGCTGTGCTGGCTACTGATGGTTCATCTGAGCCATGAACTCAACTAGTATCAGAGGTACAACAATGTTTTCGGGTCTTTGAATTCTCCCATAATGTCACACCACTTTTACAGATGGAATGGCGGGTGTAACCAATGCTGACATTAGCATCCAGGAGCTGTTTCTGCACTTCTCCTGCTTGGAACTTGTATAGCCTGCCAAGTGCATCATTCTCCTTGATGATGGAATCTGCAAGTCTTTTTTCTGCGAGACGAACATCTCGCTGTGCTCTGGAGGCTTCCAAAACAAGCCTGGCTCTAGCTTCTTCAGTAGAGTCTGTAGATTCCTAGATGACATTAGCACTTATAGTATAATATGAACATGAATTGATGTATAATTTACATCGCCAGTAGTATTAGTGTCGCTATCATCACAATCTTTGCTTGGCTGGAAGGCAGACATGTAGGCAGCAATGCTATGGCATGACTCTGATATATTTGGTATGATCAAGTGTTGCATGAGCCCTCCAACCTTAGGAGGTATATGTTTTGGAAGAGCACCAATAGCTCTGGGAGTTCTGGTTGACCTTGAAATGCTTTGTACAGCCTTGCCAACAGGTAGGGGGATCGCAGATTCGGATACATGAACTTTTTTGGATTGGGAGGGAGAAGCAGGTGTTGCGGCATTGAGTGGGCCAGACAACAGGGGTTGAACAGCTACAGTTGGTGCTGCCAAGGCTCGGTCACCACAATAAGTAGTAGACTCGGAGGACATATTACAATAAACGATGTAGTCGAAAAAATTCACAAGCGAATAGTAGATGGGTGTCTATGGAAGTATTGAAGTTACTAATACTATTATGGCATAGTAATAGGGAGCACACAGAATTAATAGTAATACCAGTAGTACCATCCCGGTAATGCGATCAAACACTTATGTTAAGTTACAAGTCTACAGTTGCTTTTTTACCTCATAGTATCATGGGACTTGGTTTAATTGGCAAGTCTAGCATGTATCTTTCTCATCATTCCTCCACCAACCATGGGCAAGATAAAGTGCCCGTCACGAGTGGTACTATCCGATTCTGAGTTAATGCTCAGTGATCATGAGTCAGTGATCATGAAGGAGCCCAGTGTCGAGCCTCAGGTTGACTCACCTTCGGGGCCCCGGCGTACCAAGTGTTCCAATGCTGGAAAAGGTGGATCAGCCTCTCAGTTAAGGAAGGTTGGGGATGCCGTAATTGATGCTCCGGCAAGACGCACTGGTAAGGGACAACAGTTTGTTATACCTGATGGAGAGCCAGAGAACATCATGGCACCATCTCCAGTGAAAAAGAGAACTCACAAGAAGGGTAATAAAGCAGTAAGTTCTATGACATGAAGCTACATGTTCCCTCATACTTGAAATCCCATAGGCTGTACCGGCGGTTAGGACACCAGATCAATCTGATGATGCAGGTTCTGCACCTACTCTGCATGTTGCAGAGAATGGCAGAAGGTTCGGGTTACAGAAGAACCCCATTCCTCCAGGTTACATTGGTTTGCAGCCTTTGGGGTCGGAGGAGCATCCTGGGCATCCGAAATCTTGTATTCAGCAGGACAAGTTGCGCTCCCAGACTCACACGAAAGTTGCAGAAAGACCCACTATTGAACTACCTGTCGTGTGTCTCCCTGCCGTCTGCGGGGGACAGCCTGCCATCCCACGCCCAAAGCCATCCAACCCACCTGTTCAAAAAAAGTCTTCAGGGGCAGGTCAAACTCTTCCAGACAGTGCTTCCTCCATCTTGCAACCTGGTGCTATCTTGGAAAATGAAGAATCCGACCATTACAATGATAAGGATATGTCCGAGGTTGATGATGAGTTAAACATGGTCAATGACAACAAGTTCCCTCCATGCAATGACAAAACATGTACCTCTCTGCCTGTTGAACTCTCACCCAACAAACACACGGACAAGAACAAGGATATCGGACACATCTAGTCTTGCCAAGGTCAAGCAGAACGACGGGTAGACTGCCCTGGACATGCATCTCAAAAGGACGATGGGCAAAACAGGCGTAAAGATTGTGGTGAACAGAGCCAACCACAAGCCAGTCACCTGCATGGTGCTAGCAAACCAGCTCGCTCCAATACAATAGCGGAGATGGCAAGTACTAACTACTATATATTATACTCAGCTTAAATTGATGTTCACCAGCCTAACATAGATTATGATGTCATCAAACGGCATCAGAAGACTAACCACCATGCTCGTTCTCCGTCACCAACGTACTTGCATTTGGTATGCCAGTCTGGCCTTATGGTCAACCAGCCGAAAACCAAGCGCGCTCGCACCAGCAATCCCCAGTCAAACAATGATAGTCAAGTGGCTGGGGACTCTGGTGGTGACATGCAAGTTGATACTGATTCAGAGGTAGGACACACCAGTGTTGGGCATCGCACAAAGGCAGCCAAGAATGGTGCAAAACAGAAGACACTTGGTTTCTTCCCGGATCTTTGGGTCAAACTGCTGGACTATACAAAGGCCTGTTTCAGGTTGCATCTTGCCATCGCAGACCCATTCCCTGCACACGAGGAAGCTCTGAGTGACACTGGTATATGCATGGAACTAATCACGGAATCAATTGTGGCTTGGGAGGCGCAAAACTGCCGTCTTGAAGCAGGTATTTTTTCTGACTAATCTAATAGAAGTTTACAACTAACAATTTTGTCAAGGTTTCTACCTCCAGTATGAGCAGGACATGGCCACTGTCATAAGGGTCATCTTCTTTTGAGATTCCTCATTAATACTCAAGTCCGTGCTTCAACAGATTTACAATGATTCTATCAACTTTCGCAGTAAGATCAAGCAAATTGCAATTAATGTCGTTCCTGTGGAGTACAAGCTGAGCAGTAGTGAGAGTGAGATTAAACAGAAGGCGAGTGCACTCTTGAAGGGCTTGAATTTTTTACATGGAGATCGTGACAAGCATGTACACACCATCATAATCTTGAAATCTGACGCTACTAATCTGCTAGTAGGATTGTGCTTCTAACTTTGTGCACAGCGGCATCCGCTCTGTTTGCCTTCAAGCATTCTATGATAGTGGTTTGAAATTGTTACGACAATTTGCTGAATTTCATAATGCCATCCCTTACAAGGCCCTTCTCCTTGTCATGACCATTGTAAGCTTACTGAATCAGTATGACTATCGATTCATATTATTATTTCAGGTTTGCAATGTTATTCATGTTTACTCGATGTATGGTCACACAAACACAAAGCAATGGCCTTGGGAGATTCTGAAAGGGTGTACCATAAACTAATGCAGATGCTCAAGCAGGTCACAGATGACGAATATCATGGCGAGAAGCTCGATGAAGAGCTCTGATCTTGGGCTGTGTCTGGCATGTATGTTTTCCTTTATATTTTTATATTACTACTAGCATTGTTGACCATCAAGACAGGACTGGGGTTATCATTGATGGCGAACTTCAAGGCCTCGAAAGTGACAATTCCGACTGGGTAGTCAAACTCAATTAATATGTACTAGCACTACTACTACCATACTAGTATTACCCCTGCTTCAATGCTAATGTTTTCACTGGCATGTCATGCTTTACTATACTGCCTGTGGCATGCAAGACCTCATCGAAAGCATACAATGTGCACTACTTAGTACTACCTAGTAGTAGTATTAGCCTGAGTATTAATTGTACAGCTCTGTGTAGTGCTACATATGGTGATACACCACCGCACAGCACCAATAATAGTCTACACAGCACTAAATTTAGCAGCTGTGAGATTATTCAGGTAGCGACAAATTGATTCCTGCACAGCTTAACTCAGATTGACAGTGTTGTGTGGCACTGTAGCTCCACTGTACAGGGGGGGGACTTCACTGTGATGTTGCAGTCACTATATGGCACTGTATGGTGCTGCACATTACCTCAAATCACACAAGGGTTTTGCTGATGAAAACTATTAAGATTATGCACAAAGGGTAGGACTGATTTCGAGGAGCTTGGCTTCAGCTCATGCGCTGCACCCCTTACCTGAGTACATGCCTTTAATTTCAAATGACGTCTGAAGAAAATCCAAGGAAGTCCAAAGGACTTCTGGAGGAGCGTGGGAAACTTCGGAAGGACTTTCTGGACAAGTGCAAGAAACTTCCGGAAATTACAATAGAGTTTCGTCCTAATAGGGATATGTGTAATGGCTACTCAGGACTTGTCCTGAGTAGAAGCAAACAGAGGAAAGGCTGCAGGAACAAAGTCTGAAGCAGAATAGGTCCGGAGGACTGTGGGAAAGTTCTGGAAACTCAGAGGAGTTCAGGATTGGATGAGTGGAGGATCAGAGGAGCGGAGCTCTGGCCTAGTGAATTCCTCTGTAGGCCTGAGATGGATATTGACTAAGTCAGAGGACTAGAACAGATATAAGGACTTAGTGTGAGATCTAGTGTAAGGACTAATATGATATTCAGACTAAGGAAGTACAGGAGTTTCTATAGGAATTTATATACTGGAGACAAGTCTGAGTGGATAAGTAAGCAGAGGGCTAAGGCTATGTACAAGCATGTAGAAATGTATTAGTAAGTGAGATGGATCATAGGGAAATGAACTTGGAGATGAAACTCATACAAGGATCAATAAGCAAGACGGAAACAGAGATAACCAAAAGCTGGAAAAGTGGAGATACCTAAATGGGAAAACATTACAGATATAGACAAAGCATGGGAATAGGTCCAGAGATAGGTACAGATGATTTCCAAAGATCTGAAGATCTAGAGATAGGGGTTTTGGAGATACAATAGGAAACAGAGACTGATCCTGCTGAGATATGGAGACTGGAGGTCCAGATGGGGTGTGGGAACATTGTCAGATGTAGGTCTGGAATATAGGATATGACAGAAACTTACATTCACAGTACCAGCAGCACTTATACTAAGGTCAACAGTCTGTTTCTTGGTCCAACAATTCACAACAGTTCCAAGAGCTCCATGATGAGCCCTGCCCAGAATGAGGCACTGTTGCTTTTTCTTGCATGGATGAGCTGGGCTCAGATTGCTAGCAGGGATATGATAATGTTCGATTGCAGCGCATGCGCCATTGAATGTGCAGAATGCAATGACATGACCCTCAGGCATGGGTCCATTTTCGCTGCAGAATGGGTCGGGATAAGCTGTTGATACAAATCGCTTGTACAGCCTGCCACAGAGGAAGTTCGATGACACCTTTAATAATACATGATATGTTAAAAGTTTTGATGAAAATTCTTTCAACATCAACCAAGGTAGTGGGCCTAGAATAAGATAAGTAAACATTGTGATATCAAGGTTAAGGACTTACTGCTGTTTGGCAATTTCTCCACTTCAGTGTCCTGGGCATCAATAGTCTAGGGGTCATGTGTTGATGAGGTGGGATTGATATGTGACATAGGGTTATATGCTTCAGCCTCAGAGCTTGCTGACCAAGTGGACCATACATTAGATGGTGATGGGTTGGGACCTGTCATAGAAATCAACAAGCTAGAAGAAATTGTTTCTTTTTCAATGAGTGGGGTAGTGGATCGAGTTGGTGGTACCAAATATGATTGTTTCCTCATTTCACAGAATGAGACTAACTCTGGGCCTTCGAGCATCGCACCATCCAGTCTCATTCCATACCTAAATATTGTAAATCTCTGAACAACTTAAAAATAAGTGTTGCTTACCTGGTAACAACTTTGTGCAGTTTGAGTGTAGTCTGCTGTTACCCATACACAGCAACTGTACAGGTCTTGTAGAAAAGAGAGTACAGCATGGCTCGGTAGCCCTTCTGGTTGCCCCCAATAATAAAGACTTTCTGACCGATATCATTGTGAAATGAATCCAAGAAAGTATTGCATATCTTGGTCACAAATCTAATTGGGACACAGAGCTGTTATGTGTGTCAGATGTGTTTGAAATGAGGTAAATTGTACTTACGAGTGATTGATCACCATCACATAGCATAGTCAAATGAGCATTTGGAATATCAATGTTATGCACAACCCCTTTCATCTGATACTCTGGTCCACAGGCAACAGTCACAATGTCTCCCAGCCTGACATCATAATTCTTATCCTTTGTGCACTGGATGGTGTGGGTGAAACTCGTCCGCCAAACCATTGCTACAGGGACTGAAATACTCAAGAGCCTGGAGCTGGTCTCTCTACTGTCCTCAGTGATAACATCCCAGAACCATAAAATAGTTCATTTCTTGGCATACCAGTCCACGATGCTGCATTTCCCAACATGCTTCCCATCCAGTACTTCTATGTGGTCTCCGATTTCAATGAAGTGGGAGTTGGGAGTAGGCTTGAGATATTGTTGCATTAGTAGCTGCAAGTGCATGGTGTAATTTAAGGGCCACCAATCCAAGTAGTATTTAGAAACTTCCACCTATATCTAAATGTCAGACGATTTAATAGAATAGTGTTTGCACCAGACTTACCTGTTCATTGGAAATATCTTGGCAAATGTCAAATATGTCCTGTCATATTTGAATGACATGCCCTTCTAATCCAAAGTATGGATCAGCTATAACTTTGACGGTGTTTCCAACCTTGAATACACACTCTATGTCTTCGAGATGAACCTCTATCTACTCTGGACGTCCATCAAACATAAACTCCAAGCTCACAGAACCAACTGTATGGTCCATCAAGATGACCTGACTGGACTTTCCACAAAGAGAACCTTTAACAACCCTGATTCAATTGCCCATACACAAAACTTGTGTCGAAAATGATACCACAATTTGTTTGAGGAATGGTTTGTCCCATCCAGATTCGAGATGGAGCTAGATATTATCAATATGAGGGAAGACAAGAAGTTTGAGGTTATCACAGTGAAAGTCTTTCAGTAGGAGACCCATATAATAGCTTTGTTCTTTGTATGTCAATCCTACCACTTCATTGTCATGAATAATGTTGGAAACTATTTTGTTGGTCAGGAGGTGAGATAAATTGAGCAGCACTCGAGTTCCCCAAGGCATTGGATAGGGGAAGTGCAATAAAGGAATTAAGACCTTGATAGAACTCTCTGTCTGGGATTCCACTCTGCCTATGCAGCCCCTGTGTGGGCCATGCCTGATCCTTACCCAAGCTGGGCCAGGAAATTGGAACAGTGAACCCTCAACAGCTTCACATTCTACATCCATGATGCGAAGACATTGCCTCACAGCAAGACTGTGTGAGGCAGGAAGTGAGTCACAGATCGTTTTGGGGCTATCTGCAACTACATAAATTTGGCCTACTACCTAAGCTGATATAGTAACAGAAAACTTTTGGCTCTCAAGGTGTTCAGGGATATATTCCGCAGCAGTTCCTACAATGCAATGAGTGGTATACCAAGTGATGCAAAAATAAATATATTGCATATGAACTAAATACATCCTGTTTTGGGGTGGCAAAACTCTAAGTGGAGATAATGGGATAGAGGCCACTCTGGAAGTGAGGGCACAAAACTCTTGTGATGAGTTGCCTGGATTCTCTTCAAACCTATTGGCCAAATCATCAAATTTTTTGGCCAACCTCTCTTTTGCCGACAGTCCTGATATGTGCATAACTTTCTACACAAGCTTCGGCTGCCCACCCTCATCCTCCTTTTCATCATTCACATCTTTATCTTCAGAAGCCTCTATGATGATATATGGATTACAAGTAAACTATGTTTCCTTTTTAGTATACAAAATTATAAGCCATGACATTTTACTTACTTTAGGTGGTCTATAGGATCACTTTCTGCATGAGCTTGACAAGTAGCTGGCTATCCTCGATGCAGACACAGGCATGGAAAAGTCTTTTGGTACGGGAGGGGGGGTTACAGGGGCTACATTCTTGGCCATGAGTTTGTGGAGGTTGGCCAAGGATTCATCATCATTTCCTTCACCAGAGAACAATGCATGCTGGGGTTCTACCTAATCCTCGGCAAAGTATCTATCACTAGGGTATGATGCAAGAGCATCATCCATTTGAGGCATGGTCATATTGGTGGTGAGGAAGTGCCGAAGAATTCCCCATACATGTCTATCACATAGTGCCGGTAATGTCTGAGCACCTGTATCATGCCTATGAATAATGATGGTATTAACATCATTGTATCATGACTTACCTTCTTGAATTCTAAGCTGCTTTGAGGAAGGTTCATTATCGTTGAATTGGGCATGTTTAGACATATGGATTCTGTCCATGGTGTATATGTTAACTTCAAAGTTAGTATAGTGAACTTGAAACCTCACATGCTATGTTGAATAGTCTGTTGAATAGTCTATTCTCAAATATATGACTATGTATGTATTGTATTGAGGTAGCTAATACCCATCAGTGTAGATTGTGGGCATTATGATTATCTACCAGATATGGTGGTACAAATGGTGGACATTGCACACTCGTTGTGGACTGATGGCCTCAAGCATTATCAAAATACATTGTAACCTTGCCTGCCCTCCTGCTATAGTACAGTAAATACAATAATTCTGCAGGTGATAAAAAGGTGTATACTATTGAACTTGATGCCTGCCCACCCCATGAACATTTTCTTTGTACTGTACTAAAGCTGTAGGCTATTGTAAGAATTGTGCATATACTATTTCACCTTCATGCCAAATATAGAAGATCATATTGCAATCTACTTGTAGATATGTTACACTTTATGAGGAGTGGGGAAAGAGGCAAAAATGCAAGAAGGACATGGTTGATATAATGAATGATTAGTGTACATTCAGACCTAGCTAGCAATACCTGACCTGAAAGCTTGTGGCTTGCTGCTGCTGAACTCCAGCTGAGTTTGAATATGTAGTCATTCACTATATCAGCACACACATTTCCTTTTGTTAAATCTTTCTCACTTTCTAATTGCAAGTAACACTAGGTAGGCAATTCAGATAAGGCTATTTACTTCTTCATTCACCTTATCTTATTGTCCTTATAGGTTTCACTCTCTGGGCTTTCTGTGAACATATTTACATAGCAGGGTGCAGTGGAATAGTTATTCTATTTTTACAACACCACCTTTCCTGAATGGTAAGTATCTTTGAAGGATTCAATTTCATCCTTTAATGAACTGACTGTAGCTTGCCTTGGCTCAAACTTGGCCTGTGGTCACTTCATCCAGCCTAATATTTGTTCATCTGTTGATGTTTAGTAGCTGGTTTATCTCTCTGATTTGAAGATGTATAATGCTTCGCTTGTCTAATTGAACAAATTGCTCATCTACTAGAGATAATCAAGAACCAAGCTCTTGTCAATTTTTGGAAAAGTAGATCGAGCAATTGAATTAAAGTGCTCTGTTTGATGGCAAAAGCTATCACTATTAAGTGTATATTTGCTTATGCTGAATATAATGCTGCCTACCAGCCCTGACATTGGTCACCATCCGTACTTGGCGGTGCGCATGTGCATATTTACTTTTTATTTTATTTTGTATTCCTTGTTTATTATTTGCTGGGGCAAAGGCCTACATTAGTACTATTGCATTGCCAACTGCTTCTACACATTGTTTTAAGTCAGTGTTTTATGTTGTTTCAGTGATCCTCTTTGCTTTGCCAGTTAGTGCGATGTGGCCAAGGGATTGCCATGATATTAATTTTTGATGGCCAGCTGTCAAAACATCTTATTGAAATTCTGCTAGTATTCGCCACTGTGAATTCCATACAAATCTCACTTCAGATGACCAACACGACTAATTGACCCATCTTAATTCCAATCATCATTTGCATGATGTTGGTCCCCTCCTGTCTCCCACCATTCAACAGTTTTAGCTTCCCAGACTGGCATATTTGAACTCTCTAACATACTAACACATGTAAAATAACTAGAATTGTTCACAAGACACATACCAACAGAAAAGGTTAGTTCATAGTCTATACAGCATCCATTGTCACATCCTGATATGCTATGTAGCTCTGAACTAAATTATATCTCCTGCATTTTGTCCTCAAAGGTCGAGCCTATCTAGGTGATATTTGGCAAATAGTTGCAGGATGTATGTTGGAAGCACAGAGGGAGGAATCACTATGAAGTACTGCTGGGGATCACACAAGCTGCTGGAGCATAGAGTGAGACTTTATGGAAGAGAAGAGAGACCACTGTCAGCTAGAGGTGTCTCTGTGCAGTCAAGCCATCGATCATATAGAGTAGCACTGGGCTATATGTAAGAGACTACAACTTATACAATAACAATAGGCTAACATGATAGCTTTTAACAATGCATGCTATTGTAGTACCAGTCACTAATGCTACCTATTTCACAGCAACTTCACAATGCATCATTGAACCTATAGCTACCTGTTCAGTAGCTGTGCAAAACAAGTGTGAAACTTAGTTAAGAAGGCAAAAAACTGACACCATCCCACCTAAAGAAATTGCATCGATTGAAAGTGATTCACCTCTATTTGGCTCTCCTTCAAATCTTGGTCATTTTGCCTTTGTGCACCTTAAACAACGAACACTGGTCACTATGAATATCAGTGTTTTTTTTTTTCAAATCCACTTAATTTTGCTTTTTACTTTACATTCTTTGAAGTCTGATGGCCCCTCATTCAGTCTACAGAGTACATGGATTACCACATGCCTCCAAGAGGTCCTCCAAGAAGCATACAAGGTTGAATGATCCACACAGGCAGGACTGATGGCAGCATACCTCAATGTTGGAGGATACTCACCATTGTAACTCCCAATTAGAGTTAATTTTCTCATACCAAGATGCACTACATACAAGCTGAGACAGCTGTTTATACACTGGCCCTTGAAAATTTCCCTGCATCAACCTACTCTGACAGCAGTAAGCATGAACTAGTTACAGTAGTTTCTTTACATGCCCAATTCTTCCCCAGCATTTACCAAAGGAAGTCCATCATTACATGGAATGCATGGATGCTGAATCAATCAACTCTCACACTAACTCTGACTTATGGTAACTGTGTTATGTTTATTTTAGTCCTCATTTCGGTCACAGTGTTCTACAAGTGTACAAGTGTACATCTGCACATATAACTATGAAAGCTCAGATGTAGGAATATATCTCAGAGAGGAGTCCATGGTCCAAGAAGGAGTATGGACTTGCAAGCAGACAAAGGGTGTGTCGTCATATATTTAACACTACTGCATAAGCCATCATAGTGGTCACCAGGCACATATCTTTATATCCTTTTTGTGTATCACCAATATGTATCACAGACTTTGTAAAATTCATACGAGTATTGGTCAGGATCTACTGCACTTATATTAGTACTTAGCACACACATAGAAGGCAACAGAATTAAACATTTTGTCCTGGGCTTGCGCACATCAGAATTGCTCCTATGGGATTAAGTAAATGCAGTGTGGTATTACTAAATTTGGAATGTGTGACAAATTGACTTTGGGTGCTACCGATTGAGTTTAATTTCACAAAGTCAGTCACTATAAATAATACCCCACTTTGGATATTGTTCTGCTTTCCCATTTCTATCATCGACTCCATACTATACATACAGTTATTACAATACTACACATACTGTTACAATATCAAGTATATGTTGTAAATTTCTGACAAGCCTCTGAAGTCAATTTAAGCCATTTTAAGGACACTTTTCATACAAAACCCTTTTAATGGATGCTAATGATGTAAGATAATATTTCAAGGCACTTATAATATCTTGCACCAATCATTAAAAGGCACCATAATGGTTCCAAGTGGCATGTGATGATCACATAAGCATTACAAGGCTAGCTGAATGATTTCAAGTTTTTGTGCATGTCTCAATTCCCTTGCAAGGTCAATGTCCAGAATTTTCAAAAAAATAGTAAATAATATTCATATTGATCAATTATGTATTAGTACATTGAAAATACAGTTATTTTAAAAATCAGAGGGGGGCATAGAAGTACTGTAGGGAAGGTGGCAGATGATGTGGCAGAACACAAAGCAGGTAATAGGTCCAGAAAGGAGAGGAGGGATGTGCCAGAGGAGGTTGCAAGGAAGGGTTATAGAGGAGGGAGGGACATGTTGGAAGTTTTTGTATGGCATTTTAATCCATTAAAATGGCCTAACAATGTAGGCCAATTATAACCCATTATTATATAACAGTCAGCATTTTATTGATTGTCGCACACATTGTGATGAATATTATAATGTGCATTTTTATGGTGTTCACCTAGTCGTAATATACATTTTAATGGGTAGCTCCCCTGTCTTAATGCTTATTTTGATAATATCCACATTATTTTGATTCACATCTTAATGTCAAACTCCAGGTTTTAATGTGTATTCTCATGATGGTTTTAATGTTCTTCTCATGACAGCGTTTGAATTGCAAGATCCCAATTACCGTCAAAAATCAATTTGGATTAACATCTCATAGATTATTACAATATCTATAATGAAATACATATATGCTCGTCCATACCCGTGACACCCTTGTCTTCCTGCAAGCTGACCTTTAGGATTGTCTCTGAATCCACGCTGCATTCTTATCATTAACCTAAAAAATTTGACATGATGGAGGGGAAGATGCGTACCAGAGATCGCACAGACATGCCAATCGGATTTGCTGCTGAACACCTGCTGTTTGTAGTTGGTCATCATGATGGTCCGAATTGTATCACTGTGAACGTTGGTGGTCTGAGTTTGCACAGCAGTGACTTGACCCTGCGCCTTGCTACCCTTCTCAAGCTCAGCCATCTGCTGGCACTGTATGGAGGGGGCGGAAATTTCCTGTAAGGTTGGGCCAGACGAAGTGTGGCTCTGTGATGGTCGACTTGTCCGGGTGCAAAATAATCTTTGCTGTCTCATTGTTGACCTGCAAGCCACGAAGGAGGATAAGACGAGAGAAGGCAGTGTAGCTGGACGCCGACTTGAGCCAGTCGTTGTACAAGCTGAACAGGACCATTTGAGGTTGCGTAACACACTGAGAAACAGTATCAGCAATGAAGATGCAAACACACATGGACCAACTTACTAAGATCAAGTCACCAAACTTCTCCATTTTCATGCAAGCCTAGAAGGGGAGTTATAAATCAGAATGGATTTTGTTCATAGAGACAGTGAACAAAAGGGATGTATACAGCACCAATGCAAAAAGAAGGGCCTTGTCAGCTGAGTGCTGGCGACACAAGCATACAACAACACTATGAAACTACAGAATCTGGGGCGTCACAATGGTGCCCCATCGACATCAGCACTCTAAATAATCTCTCTAAGTCTAAGCTGTTCTGAATGTAAAGATGGTTGAACTCACAGATATAACAATGCTCCAGACATGTCCTAGAAGCAATCGAGTGTTGAGTGACATTGGTAAAAATTGTAAGTCAGACAGATGCTAATGTCATTGTAATTATTAGTAAGCATTACAATCACGTGATAGCGCATTGACGAGCGCATTTTGAAGCAGATTCAGACATTTTTGTGTTTACAATATTAGTATTCATCATCAGCCTCCTGAATACAACATGGAGGGAGCTAGATTCATGATAAGAAGACCTACAAACAACAATAGCTACCATTTTGTTGTGGTATTGCGGGAAGAGCAGCAAACATCAGTGTCATTGACAGAAGCCTTTGTTACGCACTCAAATAGATCTGTTATGCGGAGCCCTAAGAGGGGCGTCGTCCGCTAACGTTCGTGACGTAACTGGAAGGATTCGGTATGGCAAGTGAGACTGGCGACAATGAGTTGGCAGTGATCACAGTATGGTGTGTCACGTGACTTCTAAGACAGATGTCTGTGAAGTCGCTCAAGGTAAGGACAGTCTTGTCCGAACGATGAGGTCGATCGAGGTAGACTTAGTTGCGATGAGCAACTGAGAAAAGATACTAGAGACTGAAGCCAAAGGGGCATTCAGAGGGAAGTATGTTCCAGGGAAGATTGAGTAGATTCAAGTTAGAGAATCTAGTACAGGGTGACCGACTACTTATACTAAGTGGAGAGGGTTAAGGGCAAGGCTACCACACAGTAGGTAAGGGTAAAGGGGAAACAAGAATGGTATAGGTGTGTTGGCAACAGAGCCGGATTAGTGGTGGGTGGTCGAATGCAGAATGAGACCGAGAAACGTTGGAACAGACCAATGATAGGGGGGCCACGTGACCGATGTTACTTGTAACAGCCTTGGCCCTCTTTCCCCTGGCTGCCTTCTTCTGTACCTTGGTATCTGCTGCCGCTAGCACCTCAGAGATCCCTTCAACACCTTGGATGTCAGCTGACACAGTAGCTGCACATGGGACCACAGCAGTGGGGAGACTCTGACATGGAGTTGAGATGGACAGTTCAGACACAGAAGGTACTGCATGTTCAGGGGGAAGTGAAACAGTAGGAGATTGGTGGTGTGTCCCAATTTCAACATGAGTTTCAGCGTGTAACAAGGCCCCATCTGAGTCACTTTCGTCATCAAGTGCATAACGCGATCAAGTGAATCGGTAACATCCTCCACTGTAGTGCCTGGAGTATCCGGCTGTTCCTTGACAGTGCTGTCAAAGACATAAGTATTGATTTGTTGTACAATAGTTTTGACGTGATCATGTCCCCATTTGAGAACAAAGAATTTCTTGATAGTTCAGAAGACTGAGTGGTATAGGATCGAAGATATGGCTCCAACACCATCTCCCGAGAATTCTTGATCAGGAGACAGGACAAAGATCATCTACCAGTGTCGTAACTCATAAGTGCCTACTCAGATATTTAAACTACCGAAACCTTACAGATGTGATGCCGAAGGCAATTAGGCCAGGAGTACAGCTGGTGAGCTGCCATATCTTGGTGTAGGGAGGTGGGCCACTGCGTGCCTTTGGAAATAATGACATTCTGCCGCAGACCACAACCTTGATAACCTTTTGTACAAAATATAAATGACCACGGACACTTTTTGGCACGTGCTCACCTTGGCAAACACCAACCAATCTTTAAATACTCTCTTCTCATTGACGACATGGTCAGGATAGAGGATTGGCGCCTTGAAAACATCATATGCCTTCCCCTTGCCTGTTTCCCATCTGATCAATTGTGTGACTTGCGGGACAGAGTTACGGTCGAATTTTGACATGAAATACTCATTCAGCATGTTGAATATACTACCTGCCACGGAACGTAGCCCATTGATGAACGATGACCGAGCTTGCTGCATTCCGGTTCTGAACTGTGCAAGGTTTCATAAGTCAGATTGATTTAAACGATGTAAAGGTATTATGAACCTGGTTATAAAAGGCATTTGTTTGCATGCGAGGGTGCAACACAAAATCAATGGATGCGTAGAGCTCGGTTACAAGTGTGTCCTTCTCCATCGACTTCTTAGCATAATGATTTGGGTTCGAGATTTCAGCTGGAGGGTCAGGACAATTGGTTTGAAAAATGACCTTGTCGGGAAGGAACATTTCAGTAGTTATTGAATACTTCTTTGCTGCACTGAGAATGAGCTTCTCGGTGTCACTATTCTTAGATGAAGTGCTTGCTGTAGATGGGCCTGCAGATGACAGTTGGGATGCTGAAGATATCGTATTGGAGGATGACACTTTAGGAGGGTGCTTGCGAGAACATTTCAGTTGTTGTGCATTGAGGACATTGTTGTTCTCATTCAGCATTGCATTGCACTGCTGAAGCTTGCCATGCTGAAGCTGAAGGTATTGAATATACTAGATGGAACATGTTAGGATATCAATAGAACAGCGAATGAAGCCTACCTCTTGGTAATGCTCCATGGAAGCGCCTTCACTTGGTGGAGCAACAGGCTGGTCACGATTGCTCTCATCTGCCAAGTCTGAGTCTGAATGAATACTCGAGGATGTCGAATTCAAATCTGATTCTGAGTCAGTCATTGGTCAACAATAGAATGGCAGAGTGTGCGAAGTGAAAGGGACCTGGGAGTAGGGCTTGCAGGACAAGTCAATTATCTCAGGTTACTGATATTTTATACATTCGGGGAGTCAGGTGCCATGAAGCAGCCTGCTTCGGTGCATGTGAACATCAAAGTCCTATTAGTAAGTAATACAGAAGTGAGGCCTCGATGTAATCATATGTGATTTGATGATAACACTTACCTGGACGTCGGTACACAAATCCCGGGCCAGTCCTTCAATGGCACTATGGATCATCGAGGCTGTGACCTGAATTTAGCGAAGTGAGTAGAAACACAATTAATCACCGCAGCACAATGCATATGTATTACATGTTACTGAGTATAATAGCACATGTTGTGAGTCTTGGTTGGATCAGATGTCATGGATGAAATAAAGTTACTTATGTCTGTATTGAAATGAAGAACACTTGAAAAGATATTACCAGACAAGGACCCAAGTTGCTTTATATGGTGAAGCAATTTGTACAAATGGTCGATTCAATGTAATAATGGGAGTTGCAAGTCCTATCCCGTCTAGAGACTGTAATCAGCATCGATAACCTTCGACAAATAACTCACGCACTGAACAATTTACCAGCGTATCAAGCAATCCTGAATGGCGATATTAGTCAGTGCGTGACCAATATGCAGGCTTCCGATGATGTTTGGGGGAGGCATCGGAACCACAAAGACGCCCTCTGGTTTAGTATCCCCATTTTCTGTGGTCTGAGGCTTGAAGAAGCTTTGAGCCTCTGTCATATCCCGTATTCCGGACCTACATCTGACAATTTTCCCACGCCTCATCCGGACCTCCGGACCCCCTGTCCATGTCCTTTATCTGTCCAGATGCCTGTACACCCGGATCCCTGTACCTTTGCATATCCACACATCCGGATCCGAAACCCGGACACTCAAATCTGATATCCACTTGCCAGGATCTCCGGATCCGACCTATGCTTCATATCCAGACCCAAACCTTAAATCAGCGCTCATCCCCTTATGGTAATCACCTGTTTCCGGACCCGGACCAATCACTCCCTCATATCCAAACATCTCCAGACATCCAGATCCGACCCGCGTCTATCTTCCGTGCCTTTTCCCTTTGTATGTTCCTTCTCAAGTTAGTCTATACTCATTTTCCGTACCTCATTTCATTTCTGCCTTTATTTTCCTATGTTCTCATTTCCGTCTTCATTTACTATTTTCCGATAGACTAGTGTTTGACTTTTCTGCATCCTCCGTCCACAGCCTCGCATAGCTTCAGACTGCGCTGACTGATTCTCCATTATGTCCTCCGTAGTATATAAACCCTGTAGAAACTCCTGTATTTCCTTAGTCTAAATATTACACATATTAGTCCTCGCACTAGATCTCACACTAAGTCCTCATACTAGTTCTAGTCTTCCGACTTAGTCAATATCCATCCCAGGCCTAGGGAGGAATTCCCTAGGCCGAAGCTCCGCTCCTCCGCTCCTCCGCTCCTCCGATCCTACACTCCTCCAAGTTTCCGGAAGTCCCTCCGGAACTTTCCCACGGTCCTCCGGACCTATTCTGCTTCGGACTTTGTCCCTGCAGCCTTTCCTCTGTATCCATTCTACTCAGGATTCATCCTGAGTAGCCATTACACATATCTGTACCAGGACGAAACCTCATAGTAATTTCCGGAAGTTCCTCCGGAAGTTTCTCGCACTCATCCGGATCCAGATAGTCCTTCCGGACTTTCCCGCGCTCCTTTGGAAGTCCTACGGACTTCCTTGGACTTCCTCCGGATGTCATCTGCAATTAAGGGCACATACTCGGGTAAGGGGCGCAGCGCACGAGCTGAAGCCAAGCCCTTCGGAACCAGTCCTACCCTTTGTGCACAGTCTTAACAGCCTCCCACCAATCATATCAAGCAGACTTGATTGCAATAGGATTATACCCACTTGCCATTGTCGGTTGAGACATATCTATACAGTATCAAGAATGAAAGAAAAAAAGTGTGAAGAAAAATGCACCTTTTTGCTCACCCTCCAAGCCAGGATCATTTGGAGTCATTGCCATTGCTAAAGGTTGAATAGGTTGTGATCGGTGTATTGAACAAAAAGGAAGCCATAATGACCTGAATGGTCAAATCAGTATATGAAACATATGGACATGCTAAAGACTTACTGCGACCTCCCCCTCCTCCACTGTACATGGCCATTTCCTCTAGTTGTTGTGGTACATCGGCCTTTGCCTCACACAAGATAGATATCAACTCATGAGCAGACTTCAAGTTATTGGTAGTGAAGTACGTGTATGAGGTACCTTTTATGCCAGTACGCTAAGAAAAGTTAGACCAAGGATTGGTGGGCTGAGTGAGAGCAACTTACTCTCATATGACCAATATGATGGATATAATCTTCACAGTTGTTAGGGAAGTCGTAGTTCTAGAGAAAAGTTAATAGGCGATCAGTACTAGTAATGGACCACTACAACACTCACAATTACATATCAATCCTTGACATCTGTGACACCAGTAATGCAATACAACCATGTCACATACAGAACAAGAGAATATTGAACATATAGCACATTGCACAATCAATAACATGACAACAATAAAGAGACACAAGCGCATCCAACATAACAAGGAACAGAGATTGGATGACCTCATACAAAATATCATTCATGGCACATCACAAGATCGGGGGACATGTAGCATGAACAAAGGGCATCGTGGTCCAGGAAGACAGGTACCAAGCACATTGAATTCCTCGAGAACCCAATCATGTTCCTGCCTGTGGGAATGTTCAATAGAGATCGAGGGAGTAATAAATAAAACCTACTGTTCTTTGTTGCCATGGATGGTGAGGGCTGGCCAAGGTGTCTTGGTGATGGTATTTGGTGATGTCATCTGCAACACGTTTCGAGAATCGTCCCGACAAATATAAGTACCTTAGCATTCTCAGAGCTGATATGATCAAGATGCCTGATCAACTTAGCATGCTTCTTGAAGTCACTGCAGACTTCGACAATCTGCTGAACATTGTGGTGGGCAGTGAGTTCCATAGACTCAATGTTGACCTGAATCACGTCATTTGAAAAGTCCTGTACATACTGAGATTAATCATGCAACCATAATATGTTGAATGTTTACATTTGTGAGTTTCTGCACATCCTTCAGCCACATAGCACTAAACATCAGTGTCTGACGATCAGGGCGAATCTGAGATACAATCTTGTGTATCTGGGGCTCGAGTCCAACATGCAATTGGCCTCATCCATGACTAAATATGTGACGTGATGAAGATTGGTCTTTGATGTCTCCAGCATATCAATGAGCCATCCAGGAGTGGTGATCACAACCTCAACACCACATTGCAGGTCACGAATTTGAGGACCTTTAGGAGCGCCACCATAAATGGCCTGAGTGTTGTGGATGCGAGAGCTTGACCTATTGATACATCAGCAAAAGCCAACACAGTGAGGTGACAAACATACCCAAATTTCGTGCACTCCTGCTGAATTTGATCACCAGTATGAATTCATAACTGAGGAGTCATCTTCAGGAGAGCCTCATCTTCTGCTTCTTTGTAGATGTCCTTGATTCGCTCAATCCAAAGTTGCAGGTCTTTACTAATAATGTGTGTACAACTCTAGCTGTGACACATTGATCGCCATTGCAACCACATATTCAGATAGAGGGATCTCACTTTCCGTGCTGTTGCCTGAAAGGACGAAGAGCATATGGGTGCACAGTAGAATGAACAACATTAAATTATACTTGAAGAGACTTGACACGAAGGAACATGTCAGTGTCCACGGTGTGCATAACAAAGTAATCTCCATTCGTTTCTGGATCTTTGGCGAGCGCAGCACCTCGGATAATCGACCAGACCAAAATGATCTCAGATGATGACTGAGGTTTTGTGTGTACATGCCACAATCCCAGATTAACATCCTGCCTTCAATGAATACTGATACCAGCATCATAAGGATGTACAAGGGCCAGAGGGAAATGAGTATTACCAATCGAGCAGCCAAACAAGTATACAAGGTGAGCGATGAACGGTTTGCCAGTAGTTTTGATGATGACACAATCAAACCTTGGTGATCCATAAAATTTTGGGCTGCACTGAAGTAAGTCTTGGTGCATGCGCCAATCAACCATGGATTCGTAATTCACCTGCAGGAATCGGAACTCTGTAATCTACAAGAAAAATCATTGAGGATGGTCAATTGCAATATAGAGTAAGATAGTGCACCTCATCCTCGGCTCTGAGATGAAGGGCCCTTCCATCTGGTAAGGGAATGTCATTCTGCGGTAAGAACACATCCAGGAAGCCATTTAGCTTTAACCGAAAGTCATTGAAGGCTCTATCAGTTTCATGTGCACATGCAATGTCTGAAAAAGAGTGTTGGCCTTGCTTCGAACCTAAGTGCACATGGACGACAGGGTCTGCTGCTAATTCAATATCCAGAGGTTCATTTGTCTCTGGGTCATTGGTAGCCTTTTGAACATAGTCGTCGAGCTCATCGAGCTCGGTATGCATACATGCCGATGTTAAAATCCAATGATCATAGTTCAAGATCTGTAGCTTGTAAGTAAAACATTAGTTTTGTACACTCAATGTGACAAACTTGAGGAGCAACATCCTTAAAGTTTGTCCGTCAAAGGTAAATTTTCTGTAAAGCACCATGCATCTTCTCATTTGGCTTGGTGTTGTAGTTACGTGTCACACCTTTGGCCAAAATATTGTCGAATATGTGGGTGATCATGTGCTTTTTCGGAAAGTTCCAATTTTTATTTGTTTCAGGCTGTGATGCAGTAATATATTCCTGTTAACATCAGACGAGTCAAACAATTACTAAAAATGATTAACAACATCTGAAAAACTTATGTCCATCAATTCCGAGAATGTAACCAAGGTCGCCCTTCCAGCCACAATAGTCTCCTCAGTGTGAACTTCGAATGAAGCATAGATGCCGAGCTCAAGATAATAGTGGATGCAGCGTAGAAGGAGGTATCCTATCTTAGACTTCAATTCGAGTAGGACATCCTGCGCTGTAAAGAGAACCAGCTTTTATTTAAAGTCTGTGTCAGTACAAAAAAATCATGTTCGAAGTTGGTGCTCGTACCTTTGAAATATCCTTGTGAAATGAACCATCGTTGAAATTGACTGACATGACAGCCTTAAAGTGCATCAAGTTGGGCCATCGTGGAATGACATCAAAGCTAAGGCGGTAAGTCAGCACCACGATGAGCTCATATAACATTTAATTCACATACTTTGCATCAAGTTTGGTAGCAGCTTCCCATCCAAGATCAGAGATCCAGAATAGAAGCTCCTTCCATAGATGATCCTCCCATAATCCCTCATGATTCATATGCAGGCGATCAATAGAAAGCGCCCAATTAACATCTGCAAGAAATTTTTTTGAAAATAGATTCTTTCATTCGACAAAATCAACAAGTCTGTCAACAGTGGCACAAAAACACATACCTTGACATTTCGGAGTGAGTACACCTTTAGGTCCTCTTCCCTCTCTTTTTCCATACATTTTGCTCTCACAGTGTGAAGGACCTGTTGGGAATCGGTACTCGTACGCAATACAAAGACACGATTGGCTGATTGTTCATCTCAAGGAACTCGACAGACTGGGCATGGAAACTTGCCCTTCAGACCACGAATTAATGCCATGACACATCTATAGTAGGTAAGCCTGATAGTAGAGCAGTAAACAAATGGTAACACATACTGTTCTTCATAATCTCCGCTTAAGATCAATATCAAAGGCCAGAGACAGCGCCAAGTCTGATCCCTGCATTCAAACCAGTAGCCATTTTTCGAGTGCAGCTCGTGTTACAGTTCTTAGGCTTACCTTCACCTTTTCACCACTTCACATCTTCACTTGTCACCTTTTCACCTTTCACTTATTCACAGAACTTCACAGAACATTCTACCTAATTCCCTTGCGCCATTATTACCATTGGACAATCACCATTCAGACTCCCCTTGTATATTGGAGCTCCACTTCAACTCTACATATATAGTAGTCAGTATTTACCTTGTATGTTTCTCTAACTTGACCTTAGCAATCTACCTTGTAAACCTACAGCTAGTAGTAAAGGGGGTTCATTGTTAATCGTAACAGCTCGATTGACTTGAGAAGCTGGTAGAAGGATTTGTACCACACTGTGTTTTTGAAGTCTACAAAGCTCTTCTTTCTTGTATGTTTTGATCCTCGGCAACCTAACAGCATAGTAAGTAATAGTAGTGACACATTATAAGATACTAGCAATCGGCAACCAACCAACAACGCAACCTCCTCCTGGGGTCGTATTGCCATTGTGAATGTGAACAGGCAGGTTTGCGATGCATGCAACAATTGGATATCCTTTTGCAGTCCCAAAAGTAGATAGTTTATTTTTGTCAGCATACAGAATGAACACAAGTGGCTTTGCATCTGGCTGAAGTTGAGACTACAACAGTAGTAATGTTGACAGTTTTTAAGTACAATACAGGAATCGAAACCTGAAAAACATACTTGTGCATTCCAGAAGGCGTCAGCAGTCCATGGTTCATCAATGAAGCGGACGAACTGTTCTCCATTAAATTTGGAAAGTCATTGAGTGTCAAATATAAAGTGAGGTGCAAGATGACTGTCTTGCAATAAATCAAGCACCCAGTCCCAGAGAGGGCAGTAATGCATCTCGAACTCATGTGTCTCATTGTCATACTCAACAGATACTACATCCTTTTGACACTAGTGCACACTACATATTAATGAGGTTTGATAAATGCACAAAAAGGAAAACAATCACCAGTGTATACCGCTGCGAAGCCATTTCCCACAGTGAGCGAACCTTGTTGTGACTTTGCAATGTAAATTTGTCTGTGCCACTGGCAGATCGATGCACAAGATCAAGCAATCGGTTCATCTGTTCCTTGGTCATTGCAGCTTCAAGTGCGATCTCTGCAACTTCGAAGTCCAGTCGTGTCCGGAAGGGTTCCCATGGTGAGTTGTTACAAGGTACCTGGCCCTCTGAAGAGCAGCTGCGAGAAAAATCTGCAAAGTGATGTACAATGGAAGGAAGTTTGCTATGTGTATGGTATTCAACTTTGATATCATCAAGCTCATAAGCCTGAGGGAGCTCGTCGGGATGATTGAGATCAGGAGTGTCAAGGTCAGGTAAGACAACAGCATCAAAGTTGATCAATAGGCGTCTACGTGGCGACGGCCCTTGCATGTCTTATATAGATGAAATTTAGTGAATCTTGCAAAGTCAAACGGCAAGGCAATCATACCAATGTCATTCTCTATACCCTCCTTTTCTGATATGTTGCCTTCGTCTTGTGCTGCCCATATCGTGAGAGGGTTTACTATATAGTTATACCAGAATGGTCAGATACATGATGAAATCACTGATAGCGTGTGTGCTCACTCACAGATCCAGACTGTGTGCCTTCAAGACCTCGTTGTTGTTTGCGAAGTCTTCGACGCTCCATTCAACGTGCTGTACCATTCAAATTATAACTGTTAGTACATTAAAACATCATATTCAATAGCTTACCTGTTTGCTCAGCAGTCCGAACTATCTCGGCAAGTTCGTCATCCTCACATTGTTCCTGTCCTCTCTTTTGACACTTCTTTAAGTGCGATGCTAACCCACAGGCTTGAATTGCTGGACTGCAAAGGCTGCACTTGGTGGTCTCTGATGTTTGCTGCCGCTTTGCAGGCAGTGTCTTGGGCATTGGGGTGTATCTTGGGCGATGGAATCAGAGAAAGGTCACGGTGAGTGCTGCACATATGCCTGACTATGTAATAATAACTTGGAGCTTATCGTAACAATATTGAAACTCAGTCTAGATCTAGTAATCACAACGTGATCTGATCATAATGGTGGTCATAATGATTCCAAGGCATGTTATAATGTGGGGGCATGATAATGCCGGAAAAAAATCTCTGACACAATAGATGACACACCAGCACATGATTGACTTACTGCAGGTAGGTCTGAATTCAGGGGAGGGATAACAGATGATGTGCCAGCACAAGATTGACTCGCTGTGGGTGGGTCTGAGTCCAGAAGAGAGAGGGATGTGCCGGGGGAGGTTGCAAGGAAGGGATATGCAGGAGGGAGGAACAACAGACAATGCGCCAGCACAAGATTGACTTGCTGCGGGTACTAGGGAGGTTGCAGGGGAGGGATATGCAGGAGGGAGGGACGACAGACAATATGCCAGCACATGGTTGACTTGCTGTGGGTGGGTCTGAATCCAAGATAGAGGAGGTATGCGCCAGGGTGCGACAAACTGATGGAGCATGTCAGAGCTGCATGATGAGGACAAAAAAGTAATCACCTGCATCTAATTCAATGCCAGAGGATTGTGCCACTTCACAAACTGGTAGAGTGTCAGTCTGTGACTGTTGCTGTCGCCAAGGTTCGTCTGTCGATCAATGTTCTGGTTTATTTCCATAAGGTACATGCTCCCTTAGGATGGAAGGGTATGAAGACACGGCCACACAATACAAATTTACTTGATATCAGGGATTCCCGAAGTGCTGAGCCAACTTTATCCTAGGTAAGGTTATCTGGCATGTGGACTTGGAGGATGTGCCAAGACACCAAGAACTGAGATAGTCTGAGGCATATTTTTGAAGGATGGAGTCTAAATCAATTTAGATGTCAGTATGGGATTCAGAAGACTCTGAGAGATAATAAAATATCATACCTTAATCGTTACAGTGAGAGTTCACAGTGATGAGGGAATTGATGATGATGGTACTGTCAATGTTACAGTTGTCAAAATTAATGGGATAAATTGATTTGGACATGAAACACTCACAAAGACATTGATCAATCTGGCCACCGATGACATTGACAATCTGATTCATTGTCAGATGACGTCCGAATCGACGACAATCTGGGTCAGAGTAACAATAAATTTTACTGTCAATAAAAATAAGTTAAATGGATGACAGTAAGTACGACTTCCTAATAATAACCAATAACAGTCTTGATGATATGAGTTAAGTGGGGGATGAACAAGATTTGGTGCTGCAGGTCCATGTTACTCATATTGTTGACATTGCTGTCGAGAACAATTGAATTAAAAGAGTTTGACTTTGTAACGAAAGTATTGAACTTGTTTGACATTGTTATGATCCAACCAGAAATGGAATGACTCACACAAGCTTCAAAGGTCTTACTAGGCATTAGAATGTTCAATCCAACCTTTAATTTAAACTGTCGTATAGTAATATCAGTGTGAATCGGTCTGGACTATCCTCAGTGTAGAGTGATTTATTGATAGAGTCGAAATCAACACAACAATGCAAGCAACTATTGACAGTAACAAAGTGACAAAAGTACCAAAACTAGAGAGGTAGAAGAAACTCAATTAATCAAATCGAGAAGCAAAAATATGAGTGAGACAATGAGTGCAACATAAAACTGATGTTACCATGATTCATTTCCCTGACTTCTTAGGTCTGCCGTGAGCAGCACATTGTTTGGCTGCCGGTGGAGGGGCCAATGGAATGATTGGGGCTGCATCCAGCTCCGTTGACAGTTAGCTATGCTTCCTTGTCGCTTCATTATTGCCATATTCAGCCATCCCGATCATACTGGTCTGGCTGCCACCAAGTGCACCAGCCTGAAATGCGCAAATTTGTTGATTTTACATGAACTTTCATTAGGAAAGTGAAGAAATGAATTTTGTAATAGCAAAAGTGTAGCAAATGATTGTGTATCAGATTGCCAGGGGCTTTAGCTCATGGCAATATGGCACCAGGTGGTAATTACACTGGTGCTATTCATTCCTGCATTTGCCCTATCACATTTTGATAAATGGTAAGTCCTATAGCTTTGATAGTATCATCTTTTGCTGCTGGCTTAGCTGTATACACTTGGTTCCATAGCAGATCCATGGTTGGTCCACCGAGGACATTGTTCAAGTGCACTTGCACATGAGTTCACTCAAGCAAGTGCATATACCAAGCACCAACATTTATGCATGAAAGGCAAGAAGCAACTATTCTCTGCTTTATCAAAAGCAAAAGATTTGTTGGGCTCTGTCAAATGGTCTCAACTGTCTGCTAACAGCTGCAGGCAGGATGTGTGTGCTAGCATGGTGTCTTCAAGTCTGCAAGTCCGCTGTCCGCAAATCCCCTCCTTATCCTCCAACTAGCTGATTAATATAGAGGTTTTGCGAACTTCATCAACCATTACCCCTGGGGAGATGTTATGTTCAGATTCTTTGTTGTAAGCTGATGCATAAATTTCAATGTCTGATATTTAACTTAAAATTTCGTTTACTAAAGTAGATGATGGTCTACCATTGGTGCAGCATAGAAGCTGCCATGTTGGTGTTCCTCTGCCCCTCTGCTTTAGACAATATGAGAATGTGCTCCCTCAGCTGCCTCCTAGCATCCCTAGCCTTCCTAGCCACATCCCATGACAACCAAAGGCTGGCCCACCTGCAAATTCTGTACAAGATGCTCCTTTCCATACATCAAGAAATATATTTGGCCTGGTACACCAATTTTTCTCTTCAGTACCGCCAAGTCATGACCCGGAAGAGACTATGATGCTTCAAGACATCAGTTCTATCCCCACCCTCTCTCCAGGAGACTCAGATACCACTACAATTCCTCACAACAATTCTTTTCATCTGTACCCCAATGAATCTTTCTTTAAGCTTGGTCACTAGTATTGAAATGGTAGTGCACAGAAATCACATCAGAGCTTCAAAGATTTGCTCAATATTATTGGACATCTAGACTATGATCTGGACGATGTGTGGCATATGCACTGAGATAAGATCAACTCCCAATTAGACACAAGTGTTGGTGAAGGAGAAGAATGGGAGGATGAGGATGCTGGATGGCACAAAACGGAAGTGACCATCAATGTTCCCTTTTCTCAAACAACAGCTCAGCTGGATATTCAATCTTATGTTGTAGCAGATCTGTACCATTGGTCTCTTGTGTCTGTCATCCAGGAAAAGCTCGCAAATGCTCATGATGATGAATATTTTTATTATGAGTCATATCAGCTGCGCTGGAGCGCTCCTCATCTTCCACACAAAGTAAATATTCAAGGAAAACTCTATACGTCACCTGCCTTCATAGATGCTCACTGCAAGCTTCAAGAACTACATGGGGAGGTGGGATGTGAACTTCCTCATGTGGTGGCTGCACTAATGTTCTAGTCAGATGCTACACAGCTTACTATGTTTGGTAATGCGAAGCTGTGGCCAGTGTACATATACTTTGGCAACGAATCAAAATACCACTGATGTAAACCGTCATGTAATCTAGGTAATCATGTAGCTTATTTTCAGAAGGTATGATGGTCATTACTTTTCATTTTCATTCAGACTTACATACTTTATAGCTTCTGGACTCATTCAAAGATTTCACAGGGATTTACACTGAAGGAAAGGGAGTAGGCCATGAATGCACAACTCATCATCACCATGAAATGTTCCAAGTGCAATGGAAAATTTTACTTAATGATGAATTCTTAGAAGCATATGAACACAGGATCATGGTTTTATGCTGTGACAGCCTCAAATGCCGGTTTTACCCTTAGATATTCACTTATTCTGTAGACTATCCTGAAAAGTGAGTCATGAATATTGATCTACAGAAATCAAAGCTCACCTGAGCTAGGGTCCTCATTGCCACTATCCGGCTTATCATGAGGAGTCAGCTTGTTATTGCCACATGCCGCCAAATCTATGACAATCATTACAGCGTAGATAGCACAGTGGTCAAGGTACTTCTTAAGCCTGAGTCATGGGTTCTGACCTCTGTGAGCATGATTCTTGATTTTTCCTTACTTTTGCTAACTCTCAAGCAGAATGTGTTGTCAGATTGCTTGAGTCCATTTGGATTTAATGTATTTGTATTGCTTATCATTAATCTTCTGCACGAGTTTGAGCTCGAGGTATGGCATATGCTTCTGGTACGAATAATGCTGAAGATTCTCACCTCTTTGAACAAGGATTTGGTGTATGAACTTGATAAGAGGTTTGTTGAATGCATATTTGATGATAACTTGTCAGGTTAACACTCGACTTAGGTATAGACAGGTCCCTCCATTTGGGCCAGCGACCATCAGATGATTCTCTTCCAATACATCTGATATGTCAAACATGGCTGCTCAAAACTTTGAAGATCTCTTACAAGTATGATTATGTAACTACTCTCATTTGTATTCATGAATTAACATTGTCCCAGTGTTCTATCTCAGTTTTTGATGGCCTTCTCCCTGATGATGGTCATAATACAATTATCATTGATCTTCTATTCCCTTTCAGATCCTTTGGTCTGTATACTTTTTGAACTCTACATGCTCAGAAGGTCTGTCTTTGTTGATTGCAAATCCCTTTGAGCATTAGCTGACTTTGCGTCATTCATTATCCTCACTCAGATTCCTGCCTTCCTGCACCAGTATGGCAAATTCAGACCTTCTCATGCACATAACAAATAAAAAACC